CTACTAAGTGCTGGGATTAAAGGCATGTGCCACCACCCCCTGCTAAAATACATGTTTTTAAAAAGAGTTCACCTCAATTAAGTTGAGATCCAGGGGCCAGTTTATCACCCCTTGGTATCTGTGGGTGTCGAGTGCCAGGGGCTCTGTGGACACAGAATTCCAGGAGTACTCAGGTAGTGTTGAGTCTCTGGGAATTGCCACAGTGGCATTTAGGGAATCATGGGAATCTAGGGGTTCTTGGAAAAATGCAGTGATCTTTTTTTTCTGGGACCATTGATCATGGGGCCCACAGATCCTGAGGGGAGGAAAGAGCCCTGCATGACCTAAGGCTGAGACAAAGACTGCTACATCATGGGACAGGGACACTGGAGCTATGACCCCAAGTCCTAGACTGCCCAGAGTGTGTAGAAGATGGATGAGGCAGGAAGGGGTCTCCAGGGGGAATTGAGGCAAGGAATGCCCATGGCTTTAAGCTACCCAGCTCATGGCACTTGGACAACTCTAGAATTCTAACCCGGTCTTGTCATGTTCACCTGGGATTTGTTCTGGGGTGGAAGGGCTCAGGGAACACAGAAGAGTTGCCCCATCTAGCTGCTACCCATCCAGATGCCATGTTTATGGAACATGTCCAGCATGGCCACAGGGTGAGACAGGCTGCTTCTCTCCCAGTCCCCTTAATCACAAAACAGCAGTGAAAGGCATGGCAGGGATACCTGCCACCTTGACTCCATGGTTAGGCACTGTGTAGAAGGGTGGTCAGCATGGACAGGGACTGACATTCTGGAAGGATCCAAGGCTAGAGCCAGGAGTCAGGAAGGGAGACCCCACTTGCAGGCTTTACTCACAGTCTGGTTCTAAACACAGCAGCTTCCAGGTCTCATGAGCTCTCTGCAGCAGAGTCAAGATCCAGGAGTGCAGACCAGCTGGTAGCTAAGGGCAATGGTGGTGGGGGGTCAAGAAGTTACAAGCAGAGCCTGTGACCAGGCCAGTGCTGGATCCTTCCTTTAGTTTGGATGGTATCCAGCAGTGTGGCACTTTGGCTCCCAGCTGTGTCTTTGTTTTTCTCTGTGGTGCACATACCTGTAATGTAGGCACTCAGAAGGTCAAGGCAGCCCTTCCTCAGTAGGGCAAGTAGAAGGTGGCAGGCTGAAGTGAGTGTGTGGGTGCCTGCCTACCCTCTGTCAAGGCTCTCAGGATCTTGGAGAGGGCTGTTTATAGACTTGGGCCCTGGGCTTGATTCACAGGACTTGAGAAGTAATGCTGTGTTGCGACCCCTTGCTAGCAGCTGGGAGGGTGTGGAGGAAGCATCCCACGGGCTCTGCCCAGAACAGTGGGAGTTACTGTATCTCCCAGGAAGTTGGTACCTCAGGGGCCAGTGTCCACATGCACTTGCTCTTGTCAAGGTGGCTAGCATAGCCTGGGGATCAGGGACAAGTGATTTAACTTTTGGTGGTTCTCAACCTTCATAATACCATGGCTCTTTAATACAGTCACATATGTTGGGATGACCCCCAACCATAAAAGCATTGCATTGCTACTTCATAACTAATTTTGCTACTGTTAGGAACAGTAATGTAAATGTCTGTTATATGACCCCTGTGAAAGGATCATTTGACCCTCAGAGGGTTTTGACCCACAGGTTTCAAACTACTGCTTTAGGTGCAGTATGGCTTCAGAGGGGCTATCCTTGTGGGCAGTCCTGAAGAAAACTGGGTACGTCCAGCCATGCTTCTGTTCATGTGTGTACCATCATTCCTCAATCTCATGTATCAATCCACGTGCTTGCTTACCTGCTCACTCCTTCATTCACATGCTCCTCAGCAGATACAGGTTGGCATGCCTCTGTAGACATGCTCTGTGTCTTCAGGAAACACAGTGTGACAGGTTCAGGGCATGTTGCTTGGCTGCAGGAAGAGAGACTTACAGGGTACAAGCCAGGATCTCATCACTCCAGGGTCACCCTCTGTCCTGACCATGTACTGAAAAGACTCATGTACTGACCATGTACTGAAAGTCCTTTGACTTACAGAGTTTAAACCAGAAAGGAGACAGGGGGCAGGCTTTCCAGTTGTCCCATCCTCATGGCACCACATGGGCATGGTTGGCCTGCCCAACCAGTGTGTGCCAGCACGGCCGTATTGCCAGGGTATCAGGATTATCAGGGTTCTGGTTGGAGGTCAGTCTTGCGGACTGAGTGACCACCAGCATGGGTGACTTCAGTGTCCAGTGTCCAGCTTCCTCAGAGGTCAAGCTAATGAAAGGTGACCTTGAAGCCCCATGTACATGGTGATGCTCTTTAAAAAGCTAGTGTGGTAGTGGCACACTTTTAATCCCAATACTCAGGAGGAAGAGGCAGGTGGATCTTTGTGACGGCAGCCAGGGCTGCACAGTGAAACCCTGTCAGGAAGAAAGGGAGGGAGGGAGGAAGGAAGGCTCGAACCCTGATAGGATTTGGAGGGCAGGGTTTCGAGTTCTTTGTTGCATGGCCGGCCCATTTGTGGTCATTCTCAGGCTCTTGGTGGCTCAGCACACTGCTGTCAGACTGAGAGCTTCTTGGTGCTGTCACTGTTGCTCTGAAGGGAGCTGTGGCGCTTTTCCTTGCCAAAGAGAGGCCTCAGTCTTCATCCACTGTTCATATCCACACTACCAGGGTTTCCCCATGGAGGCTAAACTAACAGAGAAATCTTCTGCTGTTCTACTGAGTCGCCTCAAAGTTTCCTGCTTCAAGTAATTGTGTTAGAGTCTCATGTAGTTAAGAATAGTTGTCCTCGCTGGAGTCATCTAAGAGGTGGGACCTCAACTGAGAAAATGCCTCTTAAGATCTGGCTGTAGAGTAGCCTGTGGAGCATGTTCTTAATTAGTGATCGATGAGGGAGGGTCCAGCTCACCGTAGGAAGTGCTATTCCTGGCCTGGTGGTCCTGGGTTCTGTAAGAAAGCAGCTGAGCAGGCCATGAGGAGCAAGCCAGTAAGCAGCACCCTCCATGGCTTCGGTATCAGCTCCTGCCTCCAGGTTCCTGCCTTGTGTGTGAGTTCCTGTGCTGAGTACCTTCCATGGTGAACAGTGCTGTGGAAGTGTAAGCCAAATAAACTCTTTCCTCCCCAATTTGCTTTTTGGGCATGATTTCTCATCGCAGCAGTAGAAACACTTAAGATACTGACCTTGACCTCCTGCCCTTCCTGCCTCAGCCCGGGTGTGCTGGAATGACAGGTCACCTCCATACCCTGTCACAGTGGTACTCTGATGGAGAGGATATGCTGAAGGCCTCCAAGTCACCTGGGGACAAGGAACACAGGGCCTGACTTCCCTAGGGATAGTGGAGTCCCCACCATGCCAGCCTAGATACAAGGTGTTAGCTGCAAGGCCCAGGGTGCTGAGCAAGGTGGGCAGGCTTGGACATGGCAGGAGAGCAAGGCTTGTGCAGGGTGGGCTCAGGAGCCCCGATTGCCCTACTGGTCAGACCCAGTTCTGAGATTTGCCCCCAAATTCCAGGATATAAACACAATGGCCCTGATGTGTTCTGCCCTGGTACCTAGTTCTCCAAGAACTGTGGCTCTGTCCTTCCATAGAGTGCCATTTCTGTCACCACAGGGGCTGGTAGAGCACAGACTAGGATGTGGGAAACTGAGGCTCAGTCAGATAAGGGGGGGGGAACCTAAGGATGTGACCCAGGAAGTCAGGAGAGACACAGCCCTAGACAGGGTGGGCAATGGGAAGCACCGTCTTCTGACTTGTATCTTCTCTTTTCTTTTCCTTTTCCTTTTTTTTTTCTTTTTGAGACAGGGTTTCTCTGTAACTTTGGAGTTTATCCTGGAACTCGCTCTGTAGACCAGACTGGCCTCAAACTCACAGAGATCCCCCTGCCTCTGCCTCCCAAGTGCTGGGACTAAAGGTGTGAGCCACCACTGCCTGGTGCTTGGTTCATAATTTTAATTACACTTACTTGTGTGGGTGAAATCCCACACAAAGTGTTTGTGGAGGTCAGAGGACAACTTGTGGGAGTCAGTCCTCTCTGGGACTTAAGGATTGAACTTGGGTCATCAGGCTTAGCAGAAAACGCCTTTTCTTCCTGAACCATCTTGTCAGCCCCTTTCCATATTTCATAGCTGCTGGGAAGAACTCAGTGAGAGTTGTGGGTGGGACCAGCTGGCATCCACTGAGAATGTAGGTACCTCCAGTACAGACCCAATATAGGCACCTAAGAACCAGGCCTGTTCATCTTCCTCCACTGAGGCCCACAGGAAGTAGCTGTCCACCTGGGTGAGGTGCTGGGCCTGGTGTGCAGCCAATTGGAGTTCTGCTTCCCTCTCCAAGGTCCAAGCCTCCCCAGGAAGCAAGGGCTGGTGTGGGAAGGGTGGGAGGTTGGGTCGATAGTTGTATGTGAGAGAACTGAAAATCAGCCCATGTTGTATACACAGTGTGGGACCCTAGCAACCACAGACCCAGCCGGAGCACACAGCGTTTTCTCTTCCCCATGTGCCATGCCCCTCAATTAAACATTTGCCCTTGTCCCTTACAATTCACAGAGGCCATCTCCTCATTCCTGAGCAGATCTGGAGACAAGCAGGCATATTACCTAAATGTGTGGCTGCACCTGTTTCCTCAGGGCCCTAAGGAGCTAGAGGCTTATGCAGGATCCTTAGTGCTCAGACAAGAGCTTGAGGGTCAGACAGCCCCACAGCCCTGTGGGACTTGGGACACATATTACATTGGTAACCAGTTTCCCACCATTGAAAGAGGCTTCCCAGTGGCTAGCATATCTGTGGTTTCTGGCCAGGCTTCCCCAGGGCTCTCAGCAGAGTGAGCCAGGTAGCTCACTGTCAGGGGCTCTTCAGGGAGGACTATCCACAGTAGGTTCTGCCTCTTTCAGAATCTCAGTCACAGGGTCCACATAGGTCTTGAACCCCACCACTTGAACCTTCTAGATATGAGTACTCTGTGGGGCTCCCTTAGAATATGTCCCCTCCTGCATGGTAACAGCTGATGACTTTGCTTCTCCAGCTTCAACTGCAAAAATCCCAGTACCTACAGCTGGGCCCCAGCCGCGGCCAGTACTATGGTGGATCCCTGCCCAACGTGAACCAGATTGGAAGTGGCAGCATGGATTTCTCCTTCCAGGTGAGCCTCCCTGTACTCCTGGCACTTTCCCTCTCCTAGGTAATACTCCAAGTCTTCCTGTCTCAACTTTGCCCCCCCATCCTGGGCCCCCCCTCAGCCACAGACTCCAGGGACAACTGGGTGGCCCACAGGCTGAGCTGTTTTCCACCCACTTCTCTTATATCCTGGGGCTGGAGGAGGTGGGGCAGCCTGGCAGCCTAGTGGGGTTCCCTGAGCTCCACAGACTCCTGGAATTAGCCCCCATCCTCATCCCCACCCCCACTCTGCTGCTCATAATACTCAGCAGCTGCTGCACCTGCCAGCAGGCTTTTGAGGTCTCAGGAAGAGCTCTGGGCCTCGGGGGGAGGGGGGACTTGGCTCCAGCTGCCTCACTGATCTGCAGTTCTCAGAAGGAAGCCCCTGCCGCCTGACCCCACTTGTCTGCAGATGGTTCTTGGCAGAGCTGCACACCCATCATGGCTCCCTCAGGCCACAGGCCGCTGTCAAAATAATGTAGATAAGGGCCAGCTCCTCTCCCCAGACCGCAGTCTTCAGGAGAAGTACAAGGAGGGGGTGCAGACAGGGCCCTCCAGCCATCAAACACAGTGCTACCAACCGTCTGGGAACAAGCATGTCCCCAAAGAGCTGGCAGGCTCCTGAGTCATGACTCTTCTCCTACCTGCTGCTGGGATAGGCAGCCTTTACCTGGCTTTGCTCAGGTCTGCTAGCTCGGTCCTGGGGGACATCAATCACCCTGTGGAGTACCAGGGCTTGGTGTACTGAAGTCACTGGCTTTCTGGGGCCGGTGACCTCTATTTTATCTTCCTCCCAGCTACCCCCCTCCACTCCAGCATCTTCACTTGACCATGCATGGTCACCACAATGCACTTTTCAGTGCCGGGGCACAAGGGACCCTACTAGGCCCACATTTGCCCGAGGTACACATGCTCACTGGTGTTGGTTCTTTGCATCTTCAGTGCAGTGGATTTTGGGGGCTAGCCCTGGACACAGCTTGGTGTCTCTGGTAACTGAGCCCCAGGCTGAGGCTGTCCTTGTCCAGCTCCAGCCAGTAAGACCTTGACCCATATGTGGGCACTGGGTGCACCACAACTGTCCCTATGACTCTCTGGGAGGTTCCCCTTCCATCCACCTTCCCGAAGCAAATCTACTCTGTGCCAGCCATCTTGGGAAGTGTGTATGGGTGCTGCTCAAAGTCCCCCAGGACTCTTGGGGTCTTCTTGGGCAGATGCCATGTGCACATATCCTGACCTGGGGTCTGTTGCAGCAGAGTCCACACATGTGTCCTAAGCTGCATGGTCCAAGCCCCGAAGCATGCACATGCTCAAATGCTGGATCCCAAATAGGACTGGAGAGCTGGGAGGGGCCTGGAGAAGTGGTGGGGATTGGAAGACTGGGTGGGGTCTAGAGGGCTAGTGGTCTGTTTGCAGGATGGGTCTTGATTGCTAATGGGAGCAGAGAGCTGGGAGGGACCTAATGTGTGGGGGCATTTCTTTCCTAGAGAGGTGGATGCCTCAGTTTCCCCTTGGGCTTATAGATGTCTCAGAGAAATGACTGGCCTCTTCTTTCCCCAGGCCCTGGCGGTGAGGTTCATGGCCATTTTTGGGGATCAGTCCCTTTTCATGGGGAAATATATAGAAAAGTTCTAAATCAGCAAGCTCTTTTTCTGGGTCACAGAGAGATTTGGCAGTGGCCACTTCTTAGCCAGCCCTGAAGGCAGACACACAGAAAGAAGTGGCCAGTCCATTCCAGCCACCACTGGCAGGAAACCTGTTTGAATATCAGAATGGCTTTCATTTTGTGACTTGGGACAGAGGGACCCAGGGCCCAGGAAGCCAGGCAGTCATGGGCCCAAGATATGTCCTGGGCTGGCTTAGACAGCTGAGTTCACCCTAACATGGTGACAGGTTTCTGGCAGCCTTGGGGACTCAGAGGCTTGCCTGGAGCCTTGTGCCAGACCAGGTGTGGGTAAGCATCCCCAGCCAGCCAGGCCATAGCCCTGGAAGGCGCCTGTAATTGGCTCCCAGTGGCGCCTGGCTGAGATGCTGGGGATGGGAGCAGCAGAGGGGGTAGGAGAGGGGGCCCACAGCTCAATCCAGAGCAGTTCTGGGCTCTGCCTCAATCCTCTTGGGAGCAAATGCTAGGCCAGGTGGGCCCTACAGCATCTCTGGGCTTGAAGCCCTAGGGGCCTCTCTTGGCAGGACCCTCCAGAGATGACGTAAGTGGGGACAGGAGGCTGGCCAGGCCTGGGAGAAAGGGTGGAGGCCTGTCTGCACCTGGCCAGCTGGGGAGAGCTACCCTTGGCACCCAGGCAAAGCTTGTACCTCCCAGTCTGGCCTGAACATGCAGGCTGCACTGCATGCCTCCTGCCCTTCCTGGGACATCCCTGTCAGCTTTTGTACCTCAGTCTCATGGTTCAGCTGGAGCTTGGGCTGCCAGAGAAGCCTGTGGAGAGGTTTGAATATGGTATGTTGCAGATCAGGGGTCCCTGAGGGTAGAGCTGGGGGAACCTCAGGCCTAAGCCAGTGACCTGGGTTCGGGTCTTCCCTCTCCTTTCTTAACCCCCATTCATGACCTATCCTTCTCTCCAGACACCGTTTCAGTCCTCAGGCCTGGACACGAGTCGGACTACACGACATCATGGGCTTGTGGACAGAGTATATCGTGAGCGAGGTAGACTTGGCTCTCCGCACCGGCGGCCCCTGTCAGTTGACAAGCATGGGCGACAGATATCCTTTTTGAAGAGGATGTATGTGGGATTGGGAGGGAACAGGGGAACAGGCACACACTGTTGCCTGTGGGCACCAAATTGGGGAAATCTAGGGGGCAGCCTGGAGATAGTCAGTGTGCTGGAGTCAGCGGTGGGGTCAGTGGGACAAAGGGAAGAGTTAAGGAGAGTGGCTCCAAACCACAGAGCACTGGACCACAAGGAATGGTCAGGAGCGCAGCCTTCAAGGAAGTAGAAGATCTTCTGATTAAGGCTACAGACAGAGCCAGGCCCAGATGGACACAATGGTGACTCCACATATACAGTTGGGCTCTGTTATTTGAAGGGTGGACTCCAGCCAGGGTCCTCTTCCAAACTTGGCTGCCTCAGTGAGATCCCCATCCCAGGTTATTCTAGTCCCCACTCCCAACTCTGCAAGATGGAGCTATCTGTCTGCTCCCTGCTTCTTGCTTCTGAGCCTTTGATGCTGGGTGCCACCTCAATTGAAGAGGTCAGTTGAATTTGGCCTCCCTGAGGCATCTGGGCACCATTGTGAGGCACCATTGGAATGGCTTAGAGGATAGTGCTGAATTGTAGGTGAAGGGGTCTGGCCTTGCTGGGAGCCCCTGCACCAGCAGCTGCTTCCAGCCAGGCAGGAAACACCCCTTGCCCTCCTGGCCAGCTGTCTGCAGGCCTAGCCACAAGCTGGGAGCCCAGGCTGCTCCCAGGAGCTCTCAGCAGCCTGGCTCCACAGCCTGTGCATTGGGTTTCCTGTGCTGTGGCCACAGCATATGGGCACAGGAGGTTTCAGAACCCACTTCAAGGTTCCCTTAACCCATCCACGCTGACAGCTGCCCCTACAGTACCGTGTACCTCTCGCCTCCTGCGGATACCAGCTGGAGGAGGTCAGTGCCAGGGACACCTGCCTCCTGGAGGACACAGTGTACACATTTGCTACAGTTGTGTGTGGAGAGGCAGGGCACAATCACTGGAAAGTGACCAAGTGAGCCAGATGCTTCCAAAGGGTTCCAGACATCAACTCTCTCCATAATGTGGAGATAAGTCTTCAGGAGCCTTTAAACCCCACTTCTCTCCCTGTTCTTCCTCCTCTGCTCCTCCTCTCTCCTCCTGCTCCTCCTCCTGCTCCTCCCTCCTCCTGCTCCTCCCTCCTCCTGCTCCTCCCTCCTCCTGCTCCTCCTCCTGCTCCTCCCTCCTCCTGCTCCTCCCTCCTCCTGCTCCTCCCTCCTCCTGCTCCTCCCTCCTCCTGCTCCTCCTCCCTCCTGCTCCTCCTCCCTCCTCCTGCTCCTCCTCCCTCCTCGCTCCTGCTCCTCCTCCCTCCTCCTCCTCCTGCTCCTCCTGCTCCTCCCTCCTCCTGCTCCTCCTCCCTCCTCCTGCTCCTCCTCTCTCCTGCTCCTCCTGCTCCTCCTCCCTCCTGCTCCTCCTCCCTCCTCCTGCTCCTCCTCCCTCCTCTGCTCCTCCTGCTCCTCCTCCCTCCTCCTTCCTCCTCCCTGCTCCTGCTCCTCCTCCTGCTCCTCCTCCCTCCTCCCTGCTCCTGCTCCTCCCTTCTGCTCCTCCCTCCTGCTCCTCCTGCTCCTCCCTCCTCCTTCCTGCTCCTCCTCCCTCCTCCTGCTCCTCCTCCCTCCTCCTTCCTCCTCCTGCTCCTCCTCCCTCCTCCTGCTCCTCCTCCCTCCTCCTGCTCCTCCCTCCCTTCCTCCTGCTCCTCCTCCCTCCTCCTGCTCCTCCTCCCTCCTCCTTCCTCCTCCTGCTCCTCCTCCCTCCTCCTGCTCCTCTCTCCTGCTCTCTTGCTCTTTCTCCTGTTCCTCCCTGCTCCTCCTCCCTGCTCCTCCTCCCTGCTCCTCCCTCCTCCTGCTCCTGCTTCTCCCTCCTCCTCCTGCTCCTCCTCTTCCCCTTCCTCCTTTCTTCTCTCTCTATATATTTCTTTTTGTTTGTTTGTTTTTCAAGACAGGGTTTCATTGTGTAGTACTCGCTGTCCTGGAACTCAATTTATAGCCCAGGCTGACCTCAAACTCAGAGATCCACCTGTGTTTGCCTCCCAATTTCTGGAATTAAAGGCATGTGCCACCACCTCCCAGCTTATATTACTTACTTATTTCTTTTCAGAATTGAATAGTCAGCGGTGTATCTTGCTTATTTTGTTTTTATTTTGTTCTCTTAATGAGACAGCCTCTCACTCTGTAGCCCAGACTAGCTACAAATTGCCAGGCTGAAGTGGTCCTCAGCCTCCTGAGTGGCAGGAACAGAGTGTGTTCCACCAAGCCTGGCATTCTCCTCTACGGAAATAGCATTTCAGACACATGATCTAAATTTGGCAATGAGATGCAGATCTGTGGCAAGCACCATGTGCCTTGCCTGAGTACCCTGCTTCTATCCCCAGCACCACAAAAGGAACCTATGGGAATTGCTGCTTATTGGTATTTGCTGGATATGGTGGTCCCCACCTGTCGTCTCAGTATGTGGGGGGCAGAGACAGGCAGATCTCTGTGAGCTCCAGGTTATTCAGGACTCCACAGTAAGACCTTGTCTCAAAACAAGGGGCTGCAGAGACAGCTCAGCCGCCAAAGGACTTGGGTTTGAGTCCCAGTACCATATGGCAGCTCACAAGCGCCCTGTCTGACACCCTCTTCTGGTCTCCAAAGGAACTACATGCACACACATTCACATAAAATAAATCTTGGGGATAAAAACAATATAATAATTGCATCACATCCAGTGCCCTGTCACTCAGAGGCACTGACATCTTGGGAGGATGTGAAGGTTCTGCGCCAACACTGCACTGTTGTACCAGAGGGATGCTGGTCAGATCTGAGCTACATGGGCTCAGAGTCCTGCACATTCCCAAGGACTCAGTTTATAGATAGTGGAGATACTTACTAACATACTCTGAGGGAGGGTCTCATGGACTTAGGCCAACCCTGGACTTAACTATGTAGCTGGGAATGAACTTCAACACCTGCCCTTTAGCCTTAGCCACTGAAGTAACAGGCCTGTGTCACCACACCCAGTTTATGTGGTGCTTGGGATGAAACTTAAGGCCTTATGAGTACTAAGAGAGCACTCAGCCACTGAGTTATGGCTCATTTGAGACAGGTTCTCGCTCTGTAGCCCTGGCTGTCCTGGAACTCTCTCGGTAGACCAGGCTGGCCTCAAACTCACAGAGATCCTCCTGTCTCCGCCTCCAAGTACTGGGATTAAAGGTGTGTGCCACCACACCTGGCTTTGTGGGGGAGAGCATGTGTGCCACAGGTGGGGATCACAGGTCAGCTTGAGCATCTCTCTTCTGCCACTTGGGTCCCAGGGCTAATACCTAGATCATCAGACTTGGTTGGCAGCAAGCTTCTGTGCTCTCTTGCTGGCCCAATTGTTTTTCAAACATGGTTTCTCACTGTGCTCCTCAGGCAGGCCTCACACTTCTGGGTGCAAGCAACCTTTCTGTCTTCACTGTTGCTAGGACCATCCCTGGATAACACTCTCTTAAAACAAACCAGACTGGGATGGGGCTGTGGAGTGCTTGATGTTCAGTTGGTAGTGCTCACTTAGCATGCATGAAGTCTGGGTTCCATCCTCAGCTCCATATAAAACTGCTCTGGAGAGACAGCTCAGTAGCTAAGAGCATGGACTGTTCATCCAGAGGACCCAGGTTGATTCCCAGCACCCACATGGTATTTCACAGCCATCTGTAACTCCAGTTCCTGGGGATCTGATGCCCTCTTCTGTCTTCCATGGATACCAGGCAGTCACATGGTGCATAGGCATATATGCAGGCAGAATACCTGTACATAAACAATAAATAAATCTAGCCAGTTGGTGGTGGTGCATGCCTTTTAATCCTAGCACTCAGGAGTCAGAGGTAGGTAGAACTCTGTGAGTTCATGGCCAGCCTGGATTACAAAACAAGTTCCAAGACAGGCTCCAAAACTACCAAAAACCCTGTCTCAAAAAAAACCGTGTGTGTGTGTGTGTGTGTGTGTGTGTGTGTGTGTGTGTGTGTGTGTCTTTAAAAATACCACAATTCTTTAAAAAGAAAAAAATTGGGAATGGAAAGCTGGGTGGCAACTCACAAGGCCCTGAGTTCAAATCCTGTAACCCACATGGATTCAGACACAGTAGCACACATCTGAAATCCTAGCATACTCAGTGAGATATGCTGAGCAGCCTGAGGAACACAGGAGGGTTCTGAGGAGGCCAGGCTGGAAAGGCCCCTACATGCATGCCACACCATGTGATCATAGCACTCAGGAGGGAGAGACAGGAAGTTCAGAGGCCCAAGGTAGCTGTACAGTGAGTTTGTGGCCAGCCTGGCCTACATGAGACTGTAGAAACAGTCCTAGGCTGTAAGCTGTTTTTGTGTCCATTTTGCCCATAATAAAATTGAGCCCAGAGATGTCCAGGCAGACCTGTGATCACACAGCTGGTGGAATGACCCACACAGGCTGCCCCTGGGGCGGTTTCTGGATGTTTATAGGGACTAAGGCTGTATCTAACATGGATAGATCAAGGCTGAGCCTGAGTGTCACCATCTCTCTATCCCCAGGACCAACTCTGACTCTGCCCTGCATCAGAGCACATTGACACCCACCCCGGCAGAACCCTTCTCAGGAGGGTCCCAGGATGCACACCAGAAGAGAGGTATGCCAGGCAACCTGGTCTCAGGTGGCCCCTCGTCCCCTGAGGTCACCAGACTGTAGTGGACATTCTTAGAGGAAGAATCAGAGCAGATCAGATGTTATCAGGGACTGTTGCTCGGGTGCGGCTACTGGAGCTGGGTGTTGATGAATGCATGTGTTTTGTAGGAACCTTGCCTAGGCAGTGAGTGCTGGCTATATTCTGGGCCTGTGTGTGTGTTTCTGCTCTCGGGGCTGGCCCCTGGCTCCAGTCACCATCTTGGCTTCTTTGTGCTATGAAGTCAGCTGATAGCTCTTATGCAGGTCTGTCTTGTTGACTAGGCTCTCTTTTACAGTGTCAGTAAACCCCTAAGCTTGCTGTTAGGACCATGCAGTCAGTGTGGCCCTTACATGACTTGGCTGTGTAGTCATGTCTTCCTGATCCTTTTCTTCCCCCACACCCAGTGTTACTGCTTGCCGTCCCAGGCATGGAGGAGACCAGGTCTGAGACGGACAAGACCCTTTCTAAGCAGTCATGGGACTCAAAGAAGGTAAGAGCTGCTGGGTGGGCCAACCTTTTTCCAAACCCAGCCTGGAAACAAATGACTAGGTGGCACCATCTTCGCCAAGGTGGGACTCTTGTTTGGCTTGATTGGCACCCAAGCTTTGACATTAACAGCAGCCCTGTCAAACTGCCTAGAAACAGCTCAAGGATTTAACATCTATGGCTGGTCACAGTGGTGAAAAGGACAGACACTTGTCCCAGCTGGGACCCAGCATTTGGTGTCCAGGCACAGGCAGGAGCCATAGAGCAAGGCCTTGCTTCAGAATACAAAATAGAAGCAGGACTGGTGAGGGCTCTCCAAGCCTGGTGACCTAGTTCCATCCCTAGGAGCCACATGATAGGAGGGCTAACTCCTTCAAATTGTCCTCTTACCTCCACACACCTGTAATCGCACAAGCATGCCCAGACTCTTCACATGCACACACAAATAAATAACAAATGTTTTAGAAAAGGAAAAGGTACAAAGGTACAAAGGCTCTTGCAGGGATCCAGGTCTGGTTCCCTGTATCCAGGAAGTGACTTACAATCACCCATGCCCTCTTCTGACACACACCTGGTACAGATTCATGCAGGCAGGCAAAATACACATTACAAAAATAAACATTTTTCTTTCAAAGTAAAAGGGAGACTGGGGGGTGTGGGTCAGGGGTAACCTGAGCCTAGAATGTGTGGATTCCATTCCCAACACTGAAGAAAGAATAATTTGGCCGGGTTTGGTCTTACACACTTTTAATCCCAGCAAGTAAGCCAAAGCAGGTGGAGTTTGATGCCAGGTGGATCTACATAGAGAGTTTCAGGATAGCCCAGACTACTCAGAGAAACCTTGTCTCAAACCAAAACCTCAATAAACAGAAGAAAAGAGTTTCTGACTTTCCCAACAGCTGTAAACTCTTTGACTCAGTTCAGAAGCAGGGTGGGTGTGGCCTGTCACACAGCTGTCTCATAGCATGATGCTTACCTCATCTCAGCACCCTGAGGCCAAGGCAGGAGGAGCAGGAGTTTGCAACCAACCTAGGCTATATGAGTTTGCCAAAATAAAAATATAGAAACAGAATGAATTTATGTTCAGAGACCTCAGAGGCTTTGCCACACACAGCTAAGAAAGCCATTGGGGTTTCTGAGTCCATGGATTACTTGTCTTTCTCTTTTTTAATTACAGTTTTTAAATGTATTGTGACAACTTTAGGAGTTGGGTCTCTCCTGCCATGTGGGTCCTGAGAATCGAACTCAGACCATCAACCTATGGTGGCAAGCTCTTTTACTGGTTGAGCCATATTGCTGGCCCAGAAAGCTTTTCCAAATCTTCCCCAGCCAGAGTCCCATAAACTAGCCAGGCTGCTAGTCACAAGCTACCCAGTTATGGCCTGCCTGCCCTGCATCCTCTGGCCTGTACTCTAGCCTGAAGCACTGCTTCCCAGAGGACCACAGAGCCCACAGGCAGCCAGGAGTCCCCAGTGCTGCAACCTAGAGCTCAGCTTGGGGCTTTGGCAAAGACCCTGGCTATGCCCACCCAGAAGAGCAGCTCCAGGATCTGGGAGGATGTGAGAAGTCCCTCCCCATTGACCTTCTATAGTTCCTGGCTCTGCCCTGGTCTCCTCCCAGCCACCCCTGCACTGCATGATTGCTGACCCTGGGCAGGGAACATCACACAGGCAGCCTTGCCTGCTACCCGCCATCTGTTCTGCTCTCTTTCAGACGGGTCCCAGGCCCAAGTCCTGCGAGGTTCCCGGAATCAAGTAAGTCTGGCCCCCTTACCCCTCTGTTACCAGAACTTTTCCATCTCCAAGCCTGTACCTGCTTGCAGGGGAGAAAATGAGCATATGACCAGTGGGTACCCAGGGTACCCCTGTCATTTGATGGCATACATGTCCTCTCTCCCTGTGGACAGCTCTCCTCCCCTCCAGGGGTCCTATCATATTCACAGCTCACTGAGAGATGGTCCTTTGTAACCACTGATCCTCGCAGTCCCCTCCTGTACCACTGCAGTTGTCCTGGGGTGGCATGGCTGGCCAGCTAGTCCCAGACCTCACATCCTGTCTTCATCTGCCTCCCCAGCATCTTCCCATCTGCAGAGCAGGAGAGCACGGCAGCCCTGATCCCTGCTACCCACAACACAGGAGGCTCCCTTCCTGACCTCACCAACACCCATTTTCCCTCCCCACTCCCGACGCCGCTGGACCCCGAGGAGCCCCCGTTCCCCGCTCTCACCAGCTCTAGCAGCACTGGCAGCCTCGCACATCTCGGCGTCAGCAGCGCTGGTCAGGGTAAGACCCCCATGCTGCCCATATCCCACAGCAGCATGCAGTGCAGTGAGGAGTTCATGGGACTGTGTCTAGGGCTGACACATCTGTCCTCAAAACTCTGTAGAGCACAGCCAGTAGGGAAGTGAGCATTGCCTATAGGAATCAAGAAGTGGTTTTATGGCTGGGCGCTGAAGCGCCCAGCTTCAAGGAAGGGCTGGGAGCCAGCAGGGAACCCTAATGCCTTTGACTTTATTTGCCAATGACACTTTGACTTGACCCTTCCAAGCTCACTTTTTTTTTTTTTAATATTTTATGTGTATGAGTGTTTTGCCCACATTTATGACTGTACACCATGTGTGCACAGTACTTTCTGAGGACAGAAGAGGGCGCTGAATCCTTGGATCTGGAGTCACAGGTGGTTGAGAGCCACCATGTGCATGCTGGGAGTTGAACCTGGCTCTTCCAGCAGCCAGGGCTCTAACCACTGGGACATCCATCACTCCAGGCTGCCCTCACCTTTGAAAAGCTTATTTTTCAAACCCTTGGCCTGTTCCATGCCCCAGCTTCTCCTTGCCCATTCCCCTGGCTCCCAGTTTGACACAATACTGCTTTTCCTGGCTACTGTGATTGTGTCCTCTTTATTTTTACCCCCTACTCATTAAATGCATGACCTGTCAGCCCTACCAAGAGATAGAACTTTCTCAGCTTCTTCTCCTGCCCCTTGTTCCTACCCCACCCCATGAAAGCTGAGTCTATACTCCCTCTTCTAACTCTTTCCCAGCCCTGACCTCAAGGGTACTCCTGTTCACTCCATAGTCTTTGCACAAGCCACCTGTGTGTGGCAGCTCCTTCTTGTGATGCGTCACTCACACTGTACCAACTAGCACCTTCTCTTGAGCCTCCCTCAGTGTGGGCCTGTGCCTCCCTTGTCCCTGATGTGACACAGCAAACCCCAGGCTGTTAGTGCTGTGGGTTATAACGTGGGTTAGGACAGATGGTGGAATGCATGAAAGGTGGGGGTGGGGGCTCTGTCCGGAGCTGCTCTACAGACCTGGAATTAAGGGCTGCTAAAGAGACCTGTGACCCCTGAGGCATGGTTGATCAGGGAGTTGAGACAAGGGACCGCCATGTTTGTCATTGATATTAGTGTGTCAGGGGGAATAGCAGGTGGAATGGTACCAGTAAGCCTAGGTGTTTTTATTTCCTGAGATTGAATACAAGGGTCTTGTTCAGCTAGGGCTGAAATCTGGGGCCTTGTGTCTGCTCCATAGATGCTAAAGACAGAACTGTGCCAGCCAGCACTTTACCACTGAGCCATACACACCACCTCCCCAGCCCCTTTCCTAGGCTTCTAGGTGAGCAGGTGGGGCCAGAACTTGAGAGCTGCCCCTGGTCACATGCCTATCAGTGCTTAGCACTGAAGCCCAGGGCACAGGGAGGGTCCAGGTGTTTAGAAGCAGGGGTCCTTGACCCTGCAGAGGCTGCCACATCCAAACCTTTATCTTCTTTTCTCTACCTCCTGCTCCAGGGCTCCCCCACCAACAATTACAGTGTAAACAAGCACAGGAAAAGACTTTATGTGACATTGTTGCTAGGCCACTGCTGTAAACAACCCTACCCCAGTAAAATGTGCCAACCACTCCCTTCACAGGGACTTCATATTCTGGGCACCTTTTTGATCAAGACAGTCTCCAACTCTCCACCCCACAGCCAGACTCTGGTTGGAGGGGGGCGGCTAGGGAACCATGGCCCCTCCCCCACCCTATCAGCAGGCCAGTACACAGGCTAACCCGGTGTCCACTGTTGGCTGTAGTATAGAGGTTGACAGGGCCCCACCTGCAGGGCTTACATGCCAAAGCCAGGACACTGCCACCTGGCCAGCCCGCCCTGCCCTCCTCTGCCCAGACTTCCCCTCCAGCTAGCTACGCTCCATAGGTGATCCAGGCTGGGCAGAGGAACCTGCCAGCAGGGTGCTTGTGTGGTTTGCCTGCCCATCTGGCTTCTCTGGGTGTGGTGGTGCTTAGACAAGAATTAAAAATGCCTTTGTGTGATCAGAAGACCAGGGGCTAAACACCAGCCAGCAGTGTGATTCCTGCAGCCCGTGGTGTGGTGTGGTGTGGTATGGTGTGGTGTGGTGTGTGTGTGTGTGTGTGTGTGTGTCTGTATCTGTGTGTACCACGTGCATGCCTGGTTGCCTACTGAAGCTAGAAGAGGGTGTTGGGTCCTCTCCAAGAGCAGCAAGTGTTCTTTTGGGGTGGGGGGTCGAGGCAGGGTTTATCTGTAGCTTTGGAATCTGTCCTGGAACTCACTCTGTAGACCAGCCTGACCTCAAATTCACAGAGATATATCTGCCTCTTCCTCCCAAGTGCTGGGATTAAAGGCATTTGCCACCAAAGCAAGGGTTCTTCTTTACCACTGAGCCATCTCTCCAGCCCCACCTCACCCCCACTTACTTTGTTCCTTTGTTTTTTGGAGACAGAGTCTCATGGGAGGCCAGGCTGAACTAGAGCTTGCTGTATAGTCAGGCATGACCTCAATCCCCTCCCTAATCCTCCTGCCTCCATCTCCCAAGTGTGATGTGTCAGGGACTAAAACAGAACCTTGTGTGTTCTAGGCATGTACTCTACCAACTGAGCTCCAAGCACTCTTATCAGTCAAGTCCCAGCCTTCCGCATCTAGTTTAGTATTATTATTATTATCACTATTATTAGGTATTTTATGTGTGTGAGTGTTTTGCCTGTATACATGTCTGTGCACCATATATGTGCCTGGTGTCCTAGGAGGTCAGAAGAGACTATAGGATTCCCTGAGACTAGAGTTACCGACAGTTGTGAGCCCATGTGAATGCTGAGAACTGAACTTAGGTCCTCTGCAAGAGCAACCAGTGCTTTTAAGCACTGGGCCATCTCTGCAGCCCCTGTACCACTTCTTACAGTGGCTGTGGGTCCTTATTGGCTGTGTATGCTCTAGATCTGAGCAGCAGATGTCTCAGCCCTGATAGATACAGGAGAGGCTGTCACTCAGAGGCAAGGCAGCAGCCCAGAGTCCTGGCCCTAAGGAAGCTGAGTACTGCCTCCCAGACAGTGCCTCAGCTCTGCCACTGGAGCAGAGGAGCCAACCCCAACCAACCCACCAGAATGTGAGAATAAGTGCAGGCTGCCCCACAAGACCTGGCCTGGACACAGGTGTTTTGCCCTCTCATTTCCCCTGGGCATGTTGGGTGTGGTCCCACCCTCCCAGCTTCAGGAACAAGGTGGATTGGGTGGCAGAGCAGGCAGACAGGCCCCCAGATCTCCTGGTGAGTCAGGCACTGTCACCTGGCTCTGATGGTGCCAAGTTCTCCCTATGCTCACAACACTGGGACCTTGCCTTGACTGCCTGAGGGTGCTGTTAACATCTGCTGGCCCCTGCTGTGAACATGGGGGAAGCAGGTGTCAAGTGCAAGCCCTTAGGGTTCCCCTGTCATCAAAAAGGCCTATTGCCTGCTTGGCTTGATGCCCAGGATGAGGCAGAAGGTCCCCACTCTGCCCCTTTGCCCTTGATCTCACCCAGATCCCTCATCACCTCAACATTCAGGGATCAGAGCCTTCAGGGCAGGAAGGGGTGAGGGAAGGGGCAGCACAGCCTGCAGAAGCCCTGGCAGGTGCAGGCATGTCACTCCAGGGTAGGGCTGGGGCAGTGGGAAGGAACCTGGTTTCAGTTCAGGCAGCCTTGGTAGGAGAAGGAGGGAACCCCACCACCCTGAAGGTGCCGAAGAAAGATGTGGATGCAGGTTACTATGTCGTTAAGAGGTGCCTTAGGGGGAAAGGACATGTTTGGGGCGGACCCTGATGTAGCAGAAACCCTTAGGATGGAGTTGCCTGAGTCAAGCCAGAAAGGGAGATGGGCTATAGTGACACAGGGATCTAGCACTGGGAGACAAGATTCCTCTGAGACTAAAGCCAACCTGGGCTACCTATCAGTTAACAGCATGGGAGCTTGAAGTCCATTTTGGTGTAGTGCTTACAGCTCAGTTGTCGGGTTACCATGCACAAAGCCCCTGGGTCAGCCCCTAATACAGCAAAATCTGGGCATGCTGGCTTATACCTGTCATCTCAGCAGTCTGGCAGAGGCAGGAGGCTGCTTGGGAATTTAAGGTCATTCTCACTACATAGCCAGCTTGAGAGCAGCCTAAGCTACACAAATCCCTATCTCAGAAGAATAAGTAAAAATATAAAAAGGGGCCAGGCGGTGGTGGCACATGCCTTTAATCCTAGCACCTGAGAGGCAGAGGCAGAGGCAGGCAATTCTCTGTGAAGTTGAGGCCAGCCTGGTCTACAGAGTGAGTTCCAGGATAGCCAAGGCTACACACAGAGAAATCCTGTTTTGAAAAACAAAGCATGCATACATACATACATACATACATACATACATACATACATACATAGTGGCTATACATAGAGAAATCCTGTTTTGAAAAACAAAGCATACATACATGCATGCATGCATACTATACATGGGCTGAAGAGTTGGCTCAGTGATCAAGAGCAGTTGCTGTTCTTACAGAGGACCCAGCACATACATGGTGGTTCACTGCCATCCATAACTCCAGTTACAGGGGATCTGATGGCCTCTTTTGTCCTCCACAGTCATTGAGCACACACATGGTACAAAACACTGACACACATTAATTAAATAAATTTTAATAAATAAATATAGATATACATCAGTAGGAAAGGATATTATCTTCTAAAGCCAGGAAACACCATGGGGCTGGGTAGGGACAAATGCCGCTCTCCCTGTCACCAGAGGTCTATAGGGTTCCTAGCCTTCTATGGCTGACAACTGCCCTCTACCATGATGGGCAGCACTTCCAGGAATGATGTCCAAGATCCCAAGATGGCTCCAATTCGTTACGTGGGGGCAGTGCTGATTGGCAAGGGCTATAGGACACACCCCTCTTTGGCTACCAAAGCCAAGAAGTAGGCTGCTGTGCTGGAGACCCAGAATGATCACTGCTGGGACGGCCCTCCTCAAAGCCCCATCCTGGGTTTGACCACATGCAGCACCCACTGGCTTTTCTCTGAGCAGCTGGACTGTGCCCATGTGGCCACCTTTCCTCAGCCCCCTTCTTCCTTTACAGGTATGAACACCCCCAGCTCTTCTCCACAGCACCAGCCGGCAGTCATCAGCCCCCTGTCCCTGAGCACAGAAGCCAGGCGGCAGCAGGCCCAGCAAGTGTCACCCACCTTGTCCCCGTTATCACCCATCACTCAGGTGCGAGGGTGAGGTGGGTGGGGATGATGGGAATCCACCAACCCCTCTTTTCCCACTGGCCTATAGGATCTGGATTTTGGTCCTGTTTTTACCAGTTTTATATGTTTATTTATTTTTATGTATATGTGTGTATGTGTTTGAGTGAGTTTATGTACACCATGCGTGTACACGTTCCCTTGGAGACCAGAGGGTGTGAGAACTAAACCCCTGTCCTCTGTAAGAGTAGCTGTCATTCTCAGTTCCTAAGCCAACTCTCCAGCCCTGTTTGTGCTATTATCAAGACAATTTCAGAGAAATACTACATAAATCAGTAGGTTTGCTTGTTTTGGCTTTTGGTTTTTTTGTAGACAGAGTTTCTCTCTGTATCCCTGGCTGCCGTAGAACTCACTCTGTAGTCCAGGCTGGCCTCGAACTCAGAGATCCTCCTGCCTCTGCCTCCTGAGTGCTGGGATTAAAGGCATGCACCACCACTGTCTGGCTACAACTCAGTGTTTTTATGGTACTTATTTTGGAGTATTTTTGTCTGCTGTTAAGACAAGGTTCATGCCCCACTGAGGAGCTAACAATGACCTTGACCTCGTCGTCCTTCTGTTCCCATCTCCGGTGTTGCCACTCCCGGCTAAATTAGTGGACTTGGAGTAGTAGAGAGGCCAACAGCAGGCATCAAGGGGACTAGGCAGAAGCAGCAGCTTAGGCTGACTGAATACTTAGAATGACCTACCTGCCTCAGCCTCCTGAGTGCTGGATGACAGGTGTGCACCCCCTGCCCAGGGTCTCTCTCTGTTTATTTTTTATGCCCTACTAGAGAATTTGTTATTTCCTGCCTGGTTAAGGTTCACCCTCACTGAGTGTGGCCTCCTTGCTCTAGGGAGAGCAGGCTGTGGGGATCAGACCCACAGTTCCTCCCTTACCACTGCCGGCACCAAGGCCCAGCACCTCCTCCTCATCCTTGTCCTCTGCTGCAGGCCGTGGCCATGGATGCACTGTCCCTGGAACAACAGCTGCCCTACGCCTTCTTCACTCAGGCTGGCTCCCAGCAGCCACCGCCACAGCCACAGCCACCGCCTCCACCTCCACCTGTATCCCAACAGCAGCCACCACCTCCACAGGTGTCTGTAGGCCTCCCCCAGGGCGGCCCACTGCTGCCCAGTGCTAGTCTGACACGGGGGCCCCAGCTGCCACCGCTGTCAGTCACTGTACCATCCACTCTGCCCCAGTCTCCTGCAGAGAACCCCAGCCAGCCACCAATGGGGATTGACACCACCTCGGTAAGCCTGAGAAGGGGGTTCCGGAACACTCAGTGGGCTCACAGCTTGCACTGTTTAAGCTTGGGCAGTTATAAGTGTTTATCTGGAGAAATGCAGGTACAAACAAACAGTGTCACAAATCCCAGACTACACCTCTTAGCTGAAGGGACTGGGTTAGACTGTGAGGCACAAGCAAGGGAGAGACTCATGGGGCCCAGATTCAGGTTGAAGAGACAGGTGCTGGGCTGCACCATTTTAGCCATGACCTCTGTGCCTTGCTGAATATGGGGGTGACAGGTCCCATTCCTGTTCATCCACATGGCAGGGCTCATTTGGGAACACTGTGAGCTTTTCCCATTTTTCCATTTCAGCCCAGGCTACTGACCTGAATGTGGTGATCAGTGACCCAGCAAGTAAGAGGCAATGCCACCAAGCAGCTCTGAGCCTCAGAGGAAACCTGCTGAGGGAGCCCAGATGGAAGTACCCATGCAGGGACAAGGGTAGCACTGTTCTCCATCTATACGAAGAGACTCAGCAGAGCCTGGCCCCCATCCCAGGGACTGCTGGCCTCCAAGGACAGTAGACCCGGGTGGCTCACCGCTCATGCGGATTCTCCATACTCATCGTTCCTTGCCAATTCTGAGACCTAGCTTGCCTCACAGTGTGACCTTGCTGGTCCCTCCTTCACTCATATCTTCCCCATACCAAATATGGATTTGACTTCACCCCAGCCTGCTCACATAGGCCACTAAATACTCTTGGGAGACTGAGCTTTACCAAGAGCAAGAGACCAGGAAAACTGTGGGTGCATGCAGCCTCTGGGCTGGAAGATGGTCAGAATTCAGGCCCTGCCCCTGCATAGCCTGCCTCTGAGGATGCTGGGACCTGGTAATGCCTTGAGCAGGCAAGGAGGTAGTCACCCCTCAGGTGTCAGAGGGTGTGACCTAGGCAGGCTGGTCCCTATGGGCTGTGTGTCATGTGCTCCTTGCAGTCTTTGTGTAGCCCAGTGTGTTGCTGTAGTCATGGAGACCCAGCTAGGATGTGTGGCTAAGGGCAATGGGCCAAAAGTCCATCCCCAGCATGCGAAACTGCTGTTCCTGCCCAATGTACAGGGTCGGGGTTTGAATGGGCATGTAAATGTGTGAATTTCAGCACACCTGTAGGGTACATGCAGCAGGTGTGTAATGTGTGTGTCATGTGCCTAGGTGTGCAGGCATTATGTCAATGCATGATGAGACATGGGTACATATAAAGATGGCTGTGTCCATGGATGTGCACACATATGTATATGTTCATGTAAGTGGTGCATGCTATGGTGTGTGCAACTGTGTTTGTGGGCGAGTGTGGATGTAGGTTGGTAGTGTGTGCAACTGTGTTTGTGGGTGTTTTATGTGTGTTCATGAATGGAATGTTTGTATTCACAAGTGGGGGGTGTTCATGAGTGGGGTTGTTCAGGTGAGTGGCATTTGTATGAGTGTTCATGTGTTATGCTTATAGAAGTGTGTGGATTACAGTGTATATGTGCAAACATGTCAGGGGTGTGTGTGCAAGTGTGTCCAGAGTGTGCTGTGTCCAATGCTGTTGGCTGTGAACAGGGCCAGGGTTTTGCATCAGACAGGAGTCCCTGCTGTGGGCTCCAAATGGGTCCCTGCAACCCTCCATGCACCCTCAGGAAGAGACATCAGTCAGAACCTCCAGCTCCTAGCTCAAGGTAGACACCTGGATTCTCAGGAACCACACTGACTACCTGCATGGCATCCATTGTTGAGGGTCTAGGCATCAGCTGGGGTTTGTTGGACCAGTGCAGAAGTCAGCAAACCCTGACCCATCTGTCATCACAGGCACCAGCTCTGCAGTACCGCACGAGTGCAGGCTCACCAGCCAACCAGTCTCCCACCTCTCCAGTCTCCAATCAAGGCTTCTCCCCTGGAAGTTCCCCACAGGTAGGGCCTCCCCTGGCCCTGGGGCACATCACTTATCCCATGTGCCCAGTGCTCACCTGTGCTGTCACCCACTCCATGCCATCTGTCCTCTCCATCAGCCCAGGGTTGTGCACCCACCAAAGAGGCCACCTGCACCAATATGACAGGACACAGGGCAGGACGTGGAAGTTAGTCACAGCATAGATAACCATAGCCCCAGAGCTACCCGTCACATAGTTCAGAGGTCCTCGGAATAACAGAACAGCCCCATAGTGTGGCTCAGAGGTTCCGGAGCTTCAAGGCCTGTAAAAGTGAAGGGGTAGCTCACTAGGACACAGCTGCAATGATCAGCCAGTCTGTGGTGGCTGTTTAGCCTCCAACCCTGGATCCAGTTGTTGTCAACACAGCAGACTGTAGGTGACTGCACTTGGCTGGTGTGGGCTTTGTTTTATTTGGGTTGTGCTTTTGAGACAGGATCTTATGTAGCCCAGGCTATCCCCCTCATTCACTGTGTAGCCTAAGTGGCCTCAAACTCTGAATCTTCCTGCTTCAGCCTCCCCAGTGCATCAGTGTGAATCATCATACCAGATTTTCTGCTGGCCTGGTACAGGTGAGCACCAAATCCCAGATTCCCTTACCAGGCCCAGATCTGACCCCTGCCTTGACCCAGGTCAGCCTAAGAAAGTATTCCTGGCTTCCTGCCCTGCTGTTCCATACTTAACTCAGGGTTCAAGGTGTGGCTCAGTCTCATCAGGCCCACATTCTGTGCAGAACTCCTGTTAGGGGCTCACCATCCTGGGTCCACCCTACCCTAAAATATCACCAGGCAGAGAGACTTTTATTGGCCTTTGTAATAATGCCCCAGCCCCTGAACAGGGGCAGTCCAAGTACAGGAGCAATAACTTCCTTCTAGGCTAGAACCAGAAGGAGCACCAGGGAGCCTTGCTTCTGAGAAACAAAGAAAAGGATAGGAGTCCCCAATAGGGGCCATCCACCTGCTTCATGACTGCCCACCTGGTGTCAAGACCTCCCAGTCCATTCACACTGAGCTGTGGAGCTCCAGGGACACAGAGACGCAGCTAGGACAAAGGAGGAGTCCACAGAGCACACTTCTGAAAATAATTATAGGATATTCTTTGTCCCAGAAGGAAACAGGTTGTCCTAGTCCAGGCAGGCGCTCACCCTGTGTCATTCAGCTTATGTGTCTGGTGTTTTTCATTTGCTGATGTGCAAAAGACCTCTTGCTGGTGAGGACAGGACTCATGGTATTTGGCTCCAGTGGGAGACTACAGAGGCACAGGGTTCCACTAGAACCCAGAGATGCCTGAGCAAGACCACATCTGGCTTCCTATTGAGTTTCTTAGACATGTCCATTGGGCCTTGGCCATGTGCCCTCTCATATCGCTTGAGCATGATGCCATGTCTGTCCAGCCAGACCTGGTCCTCTGCTAGAATTCAAGCCCCACCCCTGAGCACCCTGAGTTGCTTTCTTCAAGGGTAGCTTCATAAGGCTCTGGAAAAGAATCAGCCACCATCTCAGAAGTACCCCAAGCACCCCAAAATAGCCCTGTCTCCCCTTGGATGAAATCCTGAGCTGCTGGTGAGGCTGACGTCTGTCTTTCAGCCTAGGTGAAGTTCATACTAAGCTGGAAGCTGTGGACATGTCTCCTAGAGTCTCACTGGGTATATGCACTGCATACCATATTCAGGAGTGCCTGGGGTCCAGTGGCTTCTTTGAGCTACTCTATCACAGAAAAGAAAGTGGGTCCCCATCTTCAGTGACCTGTCAGGCCTGTGATAGCTGTAATTCTGGCTGGACTATTAGGTGCTTTGGGTGTGACAACCACATTTATGGCCATCCATGCGCTTTTGTTCATGTCCCAGCCTGCTCCAGGCCATGTCCTCAGTGCAACCTACAAGAGCTCCTTCTGGCTTTCCCATGGCTCCTAAAGAGCCTCTGTCATTCTGCCTAATGTGCCCCCCCACAGAGCCCAGGGTCTCATAGGCAGGCAGCCCTAGGTAGGCAGTGACTTGTCCCTGTCTGTGTCCTGTGTCCTAAGCACTGTCCCCATGTCTCCCCAAGAACATAATACATCCCAAATACAATATGTGCACTCTGCCTATCCTCAGCTTCAGGGTTAGCCAAGGCCTCCCTGCAGTCTCTGCCTCCCTCCCCTATGAAGGCTCTGGGGGCGGAGGGTAGAGCAGTGCTTTGGAACGCTCTGCTCTGGGAGTGGGTTTTGGAAGGAGTAGTCACCCCAGCATTGGGGCATGCTCTCTGTGAGACCCCCACAGAGGGGCTGTGTGGAAGCATGGACTTTATGAACACCCTGCCACCCACGCAGAGGTCCCCACCCCATCCCTGGGTCTCAGGGTGCAACCACAGGAGGCCTCTTTTCTGTCCACAGCACACGTCCACCCTGGGCAGCGTGTTTGGGGATGCATTCTATGAGCAGCAGATGACAGCCAGGCAGGCCAATGCGCTGTCCCGCCAGGTGAGCGGGTACCCAGGACCAGGCTTCACGGGAACCTGTGCACCATCCTAGGCTTCACTGCTCTGCCCACTGTCATGCTGTCAGGCTGTGGAGGCAAAGGTCCTGGCAAGAGTGACTTGACCACACCTTCCTTGACCTCTCTTCAGCTTGCAGAGTGGAGTTTGAGGGCATAGGGGAGGAAGGGTAGGCATCCAGCACCATGCAGTAGCACAGTGGGCTCTGCTGGAGGGAGAAGCCTGGGAGGATTTGGTGGTGGCCTTGAGTTTCATTTGCCCATCCATCATCCATCCATCACCTTACCAACAGGGCCATGGGTGTGAGGAATGGCCTCGGGGTGGGAGGAACTGTTGCTATCCCTTGTCCTCATGGCCTCTCTTGGTCCCTTCATAGCTGGAACAATTCAACATGATGGAGAACGCCATCAGCTCCAGCAGCCTGTATAGCCCAGGCTCCACACTCAACTACTCCCAGGCTGCCATGATGGGCCTGAGCGGGAGCCATGGAGGCCTGCAGGACCCCCAGCAGCTCAGCTACACAGGCCACGGCGGAATTCCCAACATCATCCTCACGGGTGAGGCTGACTCCAGGAGGCCTGGAGCCTGGGGGGCATGAAGAGTATCCTCACAGACCACCTTGCCAGACAGGTGACAGGGGTGAGGCTGGGTTCCTACATAGGATGGGGGACAGAGGGGCCAAATGGTCCCCGCATCCTACTGCAGACATGACATGGGTTCCCCCCTTCAGGGTCTTCTCACGCTGCACTCTGTTCCCACCTCTAGTCACCCCTCAACTGTCTCATCACATACATGAATTCTTGTCCTCATCTTCAGCCAGCCAGGGAGAGTTGTCATCCACAGGGTGGGTGTCCAGAGCCTTCTGTTAGGACCAAGCTGGTCACATTTGAACCCATTACTCTCTGCCATTTGCTGGCAGAGCCCCACACCCATGTCCAGGGTACAGGCCTTTCCATCCTGCAGAGAAGTGGCCACACCTCACTCTACAGCCCAGAACCCAGCGTTTCCAATAGCTGCCCCACCCTGAGCTCCCTCACCATCTCCCTTTTTCTTTTACTCCCTGAAGAAGGGATTGCTTTCAGTATGATTTGCTCTGTTGAGAATAGTGTCACCCTCCTGTGGCACACCCAGGGTCCCTATGGCTTGTAGGGTAGGCTCTGTGGTCAGTCCCCCACCACTAATGGACTCAGTAGTCTAGAAAGGACAGTCTCCTCTCTGGGCCTGGGAACCAGCCAGGCAGGGAGTAGCCATGAAGCCATGACCCACATGTGCACCTTAGACCCTGAGTCAGGCGGGTGCACCCTGCAGGTTATACTGCCAACAAGCAAGTGGCTTTGTAAATATCTGGTCTCAATCTGTACTCAGGACTGAGCCCAGCTCATGCTCAGTGCACATAGTGCCAGTGTCTGCACTGACAGGTGCCCTAGGTACTCTGATGCCCTCTGCAGAGCCAGCCCTGATGTGAACTGCCCCCACCCCCCACCCACACCACTGCTTCTCACACTGGTGGGAGGTGTAATGGCCTGACTCTGGTTCCCTGGAGCCAAGGCTGAGCCTTATCATTTGTCCCCACCCCACAGTGACAGGAGAGTCCCCCCCCAGCCTCTCTAAAGAACTGAGCAGCTCACTGGCAGGGGTCAGTGATGTTAGCTTTGACTCGGACCATCAGTTCCCACTGGATGAACTGAAGATCGACCCTCTGACCCTGGACGGACTTCATATGTTGAATGACCCTGATATGGTCCTAGCTGACCCAGCCACCGAGGATACCTTCCGAATGGACCGCCTGTGAGTGGCCTTGCCCGCCACCCACCACTGGTCAGTTCCAAACGGCGCACTCCAAACCTGGGGATGGCAGTGTTCCGTCCTCCTTTGCCAACGGCCAAGCTTGTGGTTCTGAGCTTGCAACGCTGCCCAGCACCCCCTGCCAGCCGCTACCCCGGTTGTTTGCCTCCCATGATGCCTGGCGCAAGGCCACTGTGTACCAGGCTGGCTATCTGTCTGTCCATCTGTCCACCTGGAGCCAGGCTGATCACAGAGGCCATGAGTGCCTGGCCCCCATGGACTTTTCCCACGCTCGCTCCCCGGCCCCTCCCTGGGGATGTGAGAGCTCTCATCAGTGGTCCACTTCCAAGATACCCAAAGTGTCACTCACTCCTGGATGTGCTGCACGAGGGGGGCTGGGCCATGAGCGTGGGAGCGCCCTAGAGGCTGAGGTGCACTGTCCATCCGACTGTTCTCAGCTGTCACTGCCTTCCTTCATCCCTACCCTTCCTACCATCATCCCCAGCCCTGGTCAGGTCACGCATGCCCATCATGCCCAGGGCGAAGATGGCAGAGCAAAGGGACAGACCCGAGCAGAATAAACACTATTTGGATGGCTGCCTTCTATATTCCTGAGTGCTCTCAGAGCATGACAATCGACTTGTGGCTGAATGTGGTGTGGACAGAGCCCATGGAAGCAGCCCAGTGCCCCCTCCTTGACCCTCTCTCAAGCACCCTTTGCCCACTGCCAGGCAATGCCCAGCACGGCAGTACTGGGCAGATGGAGGGTCATAGGCCACCTGCCCATTTTCATCCTTCCTTCCAATCCCATGATCCGTCCCTACTGCTACTTAGGATGTGGGACTCAGGTGGCAGCAACCCTGTGGGTTTTGCTTTTCTTTGTATTAGTGTTTGGTGGCTGATCCTCCAGCCTCTCTGGCCTGGAAGCATGTGTTAGCCCTAGTCCCACTTGACCTTTTTTTAAAGCAGACTGGAACCATACGTAACCTGAAGCACTTGCAAGCCCAGCTGCCTGGCTGCACACCCAGACTTCACTCACCTGAATTTAGTCTCAACTCCAAAGATCTGGGTGGGCAAGGAGGGGACTGGATGTGAGGTCCTGATGACTGAACATGTCTGTAAGAACTACAGGTCTGTAAGACTTCTAGGTACAAGCCTCTGCTCTGGAGAACCCACTCCCTCTGAGCATCCCCAGGGTACCAGCCAGATCTCAGCAGGTGACTGGTGGCCCAGTCTCTATGCTAACATTCCCTGTGATGGGGGCCATGGACCTGGCTTTTCTTTTGTGGGCAACTTTTAGCCTGTAAGCTCTCCCCTACCGCCCTAAGTTATAGCTCGATGCTGTTACATGCCTGTCTGCCAGGGCTGCACCTTGTACTTGTTTCTCAGTGATGTTGCCCACTGCCCATGCTGGGGGCTTGGGGAGCACAGGAACTGTGTGTGTCCTTCCCCAAGCCACTATGTGGCTGCCTGCATGAGAAAGCTACTGCCCCTCCATCTCCATGCCTCCCTATGCCCCTGGACTTGGAGACATAGCATTGGTCTGTCCGATTTACCTGTACAAGTGACAGGCTTTTGTCACATGGTGCGGCCTTGGAGGAATATTAAGGACATCATCATCATCCTTAGGAGACATGCATGGGAGTGCACAGCTCTCACCCCAGCTCTAGAGAGGTAGAGACAGGAGACTCAAGGTCTGCCTGTACTATGTGAGACCCAGTGTAAAAAGTCCAAAACAAAGAGTACATGTGCTTGGAGACTGATTGTCCCCAAGTTGTAGAAGCCTGAACAAATGGCCTTAGAAGAGCAGAGAGCCTGATGTAGTTCTCAGGCAAGGCCCCTGCTTCCAACAAGTTCTCAGTGAGCCAGGGCATGGGGGACATGGCCCCATGACCCTCCCAAGCTTGTGGCCTGGTTTTCAGTGCCCCACAGCCAGGAGTGCATGTGGCTGTGATAAAGTGACTCTTCATTGCCAAGTCCCATGATGAGGTAACAGGTCCTTGCCACAGCATCCCAGGGGTACCTGCACGTTCTGGAAGGACTCACTCTCCCCTACCCTGGGCCTAGAGTGTCAGGGGGACTTTGGGGGGGTGACCTTTGTTTTCTAGATGCCAGTCACCTGTCTAGTATTGCCAAGACATCCCAGATGACCCCTCAAGGCCATGGGGACTCCCAGCTGGTGACATGCACATACTGTGACCCATTGAGCTGTGTGTGCTAGGAACAACCACCCTGGAGTCCCTGCAACATGTACATAGACCCTCTGCCCACATCCATGCTTTCTCCCCTGACCACTGTCTTCAGCCATGCAGTTGTCTGACCCATTTCCCCATCTCAGAAATGAGAGCAGGGCATCTTAATGCACTCTGCTCAGGTGTCAGTTTACCTTGCCCTTTTACGCTCCTGCAGCAGTGGTTATCCACCCAAAGGTCTCCAGACTGGGCATGCAGCTAGTCCCAGCCCCTGTCTGTGTCCTAAGAAATTACTTGCCTCCCAACCACAGGCCCTGTCATGTTCCTTCTCTGTAACACTGCCTAGTGGCTATCTGTGCCAGGGAGTGCTCTAAAGTTTATTGCATATTTAGCCTAACCTTCTTATACGGGGGTCCACATTCCACCACACAGCACACAAGGCTGTCACACTGGGCCTGATGTCAGAGTCATAGCCCTGGCATGCAGGACAAGAACAGGCAAGAGGTATGGGGGTAGCCACCCTGTGCCAACACTGGCCACTATCACAGTGGGCCTGGAGTTGGTTCACTGCACCCTGGGTTTTGTGTTTTTCCTACGATTTCCATGCCCAGTAGAGCTGCAGGTGGAGAGGGCTGAGGGGATCAGGGTTGTGATGAGGCTATGTAGCACAGGCATGGGGTCAGGTCAGTAGTATAGTTGCACCCTAGGCCTGGCTATTGTCCCTCAAGAGGTGTCCAGATGAGGGCACCATGGTGCAGAGTCTACACTGTGTGGTCTCAACTGCTGGAGGCAGATGAGGTCTTTCACACCTCAAGTGTGGCGGTACCTGGTCCTTTTTATACCCTCTTCTCCTTGACTCCTGTGTCCCTACTTCCTTCAGGGATCAACTTGGGGTGACTTGGGAACCATGATCATTCCTGTCTCAGGCATGACCCTCATCGTGGTACAATTGCTCACCACCCCATTAGTCATAGCCATGGCTCCTATTGGGGCAGAAGATGGAGGAACCCATACCCTCCCAGACCTGGGTGCTGGAGTACTCCCAAGGGCAAAGGGTCCCCTGAGCCTCAGTTTCCCTTCCATGACTATCTCAACCTTGCTGGGGTCAGGGGCCCAACCCTTTGAGCAGGATGGGGACATTGGCAGGGCCCCATGACAGTGCCAGCTGCACCTTCTGCTCTCAGCCTTTCCCGTGGGCTAGAGATACATCACATGGAGTAGGGGCTTCCCCCATCTTTTGGGGCTTGGGGCTCTAGAATCCCAAGGTGACCAAGGCCCAGGCTAATCCACCCCAGCTGGCCAAACAGTTCTGATCACATAGGGGACACAAGGACAGAGCTGTGGCCTTAATTCCAGAGGCCAGCTTTGGTCTTCAGGTGGTATCTCACCCCTTAGTGGGAAACAGAACGACATGGGCTTGGCAGCCCCTCTGATATATGCAAATGGCTGGTTCCACATCCCCTTCCTGGTGCCCAGGCTGGCTCTGTCCCCAGCATGTGCACTCCACTGCTGTGGATGTCCGTGGACAACATGGGGGGTCAGGTTGCTCAGGGCATGCACGGCCGCCCACCCCACCTTCTGGCGCAGACGCTTCTTTGTATTTTTGCGCCCTTTGTAATGAAATGTAATAAAAACCCAATGTTTTCGTCTGGGCCTCTCCCTCTTTTCCTCCCCTATCCTCGATATCTTGTTCTTCCTGTGTCTGTGCTCCACGAAGGCCTGAGCCTTTTGCACACCTCCCACTGAGTCATTCAGTGACTGGGGTTCCTCAACCTTGGGGTACCCATCTACTCATACCCAGTAGTACTCCAGGGGTGTTAGCATCTGTAGTAAGGTGAAGTACTCCAGGGGTGTTAGCATCTGCAGTAAGGTGCATGCCCCTGGCTATTGGAGTGACCAGAGTACAGACCTGGACCTCCTGGAGGCCCATTCACACAGCCCCCTGCAGCAGAGACCAGAGCCAGCCTGTCCCCCACATTCATACTTTATTTATTAGCCTTTCCTCCCCAGGCCAGACACCCCTCCAGAGGGATACCAGACCTGCAGACCCATGTAGCTCAGGCTACTACAGTCCATCAGGCATTGGTGCCTCTCTTGAGGTCCCTAGGCCCTCCGCAGCTGGTGACTCTCATAGTCCTCAGGAATTGTGTCTGCAGATTGAGAGGCAACAGGTAAGAATGCATTCTGGAGCCTTCTGGGTCAGGCCCACTGGCTCCTAGCTCACCATTGCAGCGGTAGCGCAGGTTAGCCCAAATGATGTTCTCTTGGGAGAAACAGAAGACGCCCAGGCGGCCACCACGCATGGCTGTGTCCAGCACCACGTTACTGTCAGCCACTAGCTCAGGACCCTCATAGAAACGCACCCTGTGAGTGGAACCAGTAAAGTGGGATTCCCATCCTCTGCTCCCCTTCATCTCTGGCTCACACTTGAGAGCTCTGGTCCACAGCGGGGACGAGTGCCAGGTCCTGTCAGTTCCAATCAGGGCCATCTGCCCAGAGTCCCACACTACTGTAAATGGAGCCCATTTCTCCTAGAGCTACAACAAAGCAGAACATCCCAAGGGCAGTCCGCACCTGATGTAGCCAACTTGAGGCCGGTGCTGCAGGAACCAGCGGTAGGATGTCTTATCTTTCCAGCCCACATTTCGAGGATCCTTCCACAGCAGCCGAACCTGGGATGCTGTGTCTCCTGTGTGCCACAGCGCATTTCGGAGCTGTTCCCCAGGACCTGTAGAGGACTTGACAGCCTGCCACAGGCCAGGGGAGGAGAGGAAGAGGATCAGAGCCCCATCTAGTTAGAGCAGATAGGGGTGATGAGTGGTGGAATATACAGAAGGCCCTTCTGGGAGGACAGACCAAGCAAGGGCTCCTGGGTAGGCCACTGGGAGTAGTAGTGGAAGTTTAGGAGCACCTTAGGGGATCTATCAGGTCTGGTGGCTTGTAGGCTGCAGGTGCCTGCTGGGATAAGCTGGGGTCTGAGAACCTGTCAACTTGTTGCAGGTGTCTGTAGAAGTGTGGTGGCCAGGGAAATGTGGGACTCTGATGCATGTTTCTGCATGTATATGGGTGTATGCACATGGAGGTGAAGGACGGAAGCTGCTGTTAGGTTTATCCTCATAGTTTGCCACCTTGTTCTGTAAGGCAGGGTCTACAATGAAGCCTAGAACTCCCCAGTGTGACTAGATTGACTAGGCAGCTTGCTCTGGGGCTCCTGTCTCTACCTTTCAAGTCTGGAATCAGGTGGCTGCCATGCAGACCCAGCATTTACATGGGTTCTGGGCATCCAAACTCCAGTCCCCATGCTTGTGCCTCCATTCTTGTGATCCCATCAACCTGGAGGCTTCTCCCCAGCCCTTCAGGGTGTGTGTGTGCTTGTGGGAAGATGTGAGCTGTGGCAATGGCTGGGAGTGGGGC